GGGGGAGATGATGAAGGAGGAGGCTTATGAGGCTGGGTCTCTCTAGGGAGGGCTTCTGGGAGGAAGAAGGATAGGGAATTAGCCCTTGAAGAAAGATCAAGCTTTCAACAAGTGGCCTTAATATGATGGTAGGGAGGACTGTGGAATGTGGAGGCTGCCAGCAAGAGGGCTTTTGAGTGTGGGCGAGAGTAAACAGTGTGGCCTGGTGGTGTGGGGGCAGGAGTGGAGGCTCCATCCCTCTGGGAGGGTCTTGTTTACCAGGCTAAGGGGCCCTACAACCAAAAGAGTTTGACAAATAACCATGCCAGGCAGTACATGAGATGCCAAAATGAGCAACCCAGATGCTACGGGCTCTGGCCTTTATTTATTCATTTAACCAACATTTGGTGTGCTCCTCCCATGGACCAGACATGTATGGAGCATGGGCTGAGAAGGGGCCCTGATGCCGTGTCTGCCCGGGTAACAAGGAAGGGGACGGTGCTGTAAGGGTTTCACAGACATTTAGAACGATTGCTTTGACAGCTGTGGAATGTGGAATGCCTGGGCTGGGCAGTGGCAGCAGGGATACAGAGGATGGAATAGGGTCGAGAGAAGTATTTGAGAGGCAGAGTGACTAGCACTGGTGGCTGTTTCCAGCTGTGATGTTTAGAGTTTAGATCCTGGGGCACTCACAGAGGTGGCGGGAGGAGGAGGGGAGGGTTCGGGGAGGAAGTTTGGGAGGAAACCTTGTCCATCATGACTTGAAGCTTTTCCAGGTCCCAAGAGTGGGCACAGGGAGGAGGCGGTGGGGTAGAGGGGAGAGCACATGGTTGGGTGCTAGAAGACCTGGTGACCTCACCATTGGCATTGGCATGTCCTGGGGAAAAAAAAAAAAACAAACGCATGACCATTGTGTCAATTCCAACTCATAGAGACCCCCTTTGGGTTTCTGAGGAGGTAAATCTTTATGGAAGTAGATTGCCCAGTCTTCCTTCCATGGAGTGGCTGGTGGGTTTGAACTGCCAACCTTTTGGTTAGCAGTCACATGCTTCAGGCACTATGCCACCAGAGCTCCTAGGGGGCAGAAATAGGGACAAATATTTGCCCAATAAAATCTGGGCTTCATCTTAGCTTTGTTCCATGGCTTGTGTGCAATAACGCACATGAAAGCCCTTTGAAAACTGTACAAAGTTACTGTGGTGTTGTTATTATCTATTAATATCCTCCTTATGGGCTCACAAGCGAGTAAAAGCCTGATGTGTCAGACGCAGAGTGCTGATTCCCATCAGGTTTGCCTTAGCTGAGCAAACTCAGCCTCAGTGTGCTCCATGTGGCTGACCAGCCTCAGGCAAGGTTTCTGACATGATCATCTTCCATTACTGACTTCTCATGCCCAATGTTACTTTAGAGAAGTGTGTGGAAGTGTGCCTTTTAAAAGACAACTCTGGTGGTGCAGTGCCTAAGGCATTTGACTGCTAATTGGAAGGCTGGCAGTTCAAACCCACCAGCCACTCCACAGAAAGAAGAGTGGGCAATCTACTTCTATAAAGATTTACTGCCTTGGAAACCCAATGGGGGTCGCTATGAGTCGGCATCAACTCAGCGGCAGTGGGTTTGGTTAGTTTGGTGGGACCTGTCTGGAAGGAGGTGAGGGGTACACAAACAAATACAGCCTGGGTGACGCTGCTGGTTGATGAGTTCTCATGTGTGTATGCTCCCCACCCCTCCCAGGTGGCACACCTGCCTTCCTGCCCAGCTCGCTGAGCCCCCAGGCCTCCCTATCCACTGGCAGGGCCCTGGCCACTCCTCCAAAGCTCCACACATGTGAGAAGTGCAGCACCAGCATCGCGTGAGTGTCAGGGGGCCAGGGATGGGAGAATTGGGGCATAGGGTGTGGGCTGTCTCAGGAAGGGCACCCTGTCGAGGACTTCCCTAACAGTGGCACCAGGAGCCTAGAGGGGAGCATGTGCCCCAATAGTTTCTGTGGTGGGTTATTTTCACCCTTTCACCTAAAGGCACCTCGGAAGAAAGACCTGGCAATCTACTTTGGGTGGGGGAGGTGACAAGATTGAAAACCTCATGGAATCCAGTTCTATTCTGATACGTGTGGGATCGCCATGAATTGGAATGGACTGAAAAGCAACTGGATTTTGTTCAGTTTTGTTTTTAAGAAGGCCTTACTGGCTTCTTCTTCTAGCACCTATTCCCTCCCCTCTCCAAGACATGCCTCTTCTTCCCCTCCACTCCTCCCCTCTCCCTTTCTCCTTCCTCAGAAGAGTAAGAAATGCTCCTTAATTATCTCAAAGCCTCTGGAGCTCTGCCTTTAGACGAGGTAGCTCTTCCTGGAAAATCTTGCTCTTTCCCACTCTCTCACCCCCTTTGGAACAGGCTGTATTTTCCAGAGGTGGGTTCATTTTTTCAGTGGGTGGCATTATAATGCAACATATTTTGCAGAAAGGTCCCCAGGTGAGTTTCTTCAGTGCCCAGCATGAGGGTCAAATGACCCACTCCAGGCAAATCCCTTCCCCTCTCCGAGCTTCCATTTCCTCACATGTGGAAATGCAATGTGATCTGGTCCTCCTGCAGTGCAGAGATAAGGAGAGTGTGTTGAAAATAATGCATTTTATATAATGGCTCTCAATGGAACTGCATCTGCATCACCTGCAGGACTTGTGAGAACACAGACTGCTAGGCCCAATGGGAGTTTCTGATTCAGGAGGCCAGTGAGTCCAAGGACTGGCATTTCTAACTTGTTCTCAGGTGATGCCTACCTGGGACCACACTTTGACCCACTGCTCCATAAAAATTAAGGAGACTCTGGACTGGCTTATGGGCCTTTGCGTGTGTGGGGGGGAATTATTTCATTTCATTTGATTAGGCACCCTGGTGGGGGTGGGGGTGTGTGACAGTAGGTTATGTGGTGGTCATAGGGTGTATGAGGTGGTGGGGGCGTATGGTGGTGGGGCATATGTGTATGTTGGGTGTGGTGATGGGGGTGTGTGGTGGTGGGAGTATGTGATACAGAGGGTGGTTGAAGGGAGAGGCTCAGACAGCTCAGTCTCTAGGGAGGTTTTGATTCTTCCATAGGCCCTGACTTTGGATTGGGGACCTGGCTTTAGGCAGATGTAGTGCCCTCGGGAGTGTTTGACCTCTCTATCTCTGAGGCTAATGGCTCTCCCTCCCCTTCAGGAACCAAGCTGTGCGTATCCAGGAGGGCCGGTACCGCCACCCTGGCTGCTACACCTGCGCAGACTGTGGGCTGAACCTGAAGATGCGTGGGCACTTTTGGGTGGGGGATGAGCTGTACTGTGAGAAGCACGCCCGCCAGCGCTACTCTGCACCCTCGACCCTTGGCTCCCAGGCCTGACGGCCCAAGCTGTGCTCTCAGCCCTGCCTTCAACTGACTGAAAGGCTTGAGGCAGCTCTGGGCCGGGGGCTATGCCAACAGCAAGTTGTCATGAAAGGGATGATGGTGGGTGGTGGCTCTTATGTGAACTAAGTTTGGGGGCCTGAGGTGCCTTTGTCCTTGTTGGGTGTGGCCAAAGGCTGGGACCTATCTCAAGCTGTGGGTGCTGAGGGCAGCCTTATCTCCCTAGGCCCCTCTTAGATACTTGTAAGCTTTTGCTCTGCAGGACAGGCACTATGCTACAGCCTGGGGTGGACACTGCAGTCGGTATCTGGGTATACCAGATGGTAAGCAGGGTGGGATGAGGAGATAAGTATCTACAAGGAGAGGGGTGGGCCAGGGGCTAAAGATCATCACTGTGTAAAGTTTTCAAAATATGAGCTCTATGAATATATACACACAAACAAAATAAAGTAGATACTATCCCCCTTCCCCAACCTCTGGCTATGAGCTTCTCCCTACTATTGGGTACTGAGTCTTTATTTACATGTTTTTGCTTCTCCCCACCCCCCATTTGCCCTCTCCTTCAAAATCCCCACCCTACCTGGTACCCCAGTCCATTGGAGAAGTTTGCTCCTTTTAGGTTAGGGCTGTGCTCTTCCCTTAACCCATTTGTGAAGATGCCTGCTTTCCTGGGATGATCCCTAGTACTTTAGAGGGAATGAATTTCTCTCTGGGGGCTAGAAGGGATGCTGAGGGTCAATCTCATACCCAACCAGCACTGGGCTGGTCTCATTTTCTCTGTGGCTCTCTCTTTACTTGATGTAGACACCACCACCCTACTGACTTAGATGTTCCAGGTGGACAGGAAGGGAGGCTGCAGCTATGTCTAGGAGGACAGTATCTAGAGTGCCTCCTGCACATGCCTGAAGCTCTCTATGTCTGTTTAGGAATGGTAATCAAAGAGAAAGAACCTTGAGTAAGGCTTTCTGCAGGCTAGCCTTGCCCAGGAGGTTAGGGCTGGTGTTTTAGACAAGGCCAGCAAAGTCCTCACCATCAGGGGCCATCACCAGGGGAGTCAACTCCAAATCAGAGTTGAGCTGACCTTCCACCTCTTTCCTAGGGACACTGCTTGCTTCATTGGTGGTAGTTTTGAAACACACCTTGCATGCGTCCAATAGTACTCGTCCCTACCCTGAGGATGTTTTAGCATCAGAGGGGAGGGGCAGTGGTCACCTGCTAGCCCCAGGATTTTTGGTCTGATTCACCTATCACCCCCCAGTCCTAATCTCAGAGGACATTTCAGAAAAGGTCCTACAGGTGCTGTTGATGCTCCAGATACACTCCCTCTCCGTCAGCCCTGAGGATGGGGGGTAGTCACAGTTTTATTTTCACAAAGATCAAAGCTGTGCTTCAGAGGGTGCCTGCAGCTGGTCTCTGACGGCAGTGTGTGTTATCTGGCTCTTTTTGGAAGGAATCTTGGAGGAGACTTTTCTTGGCTTGCTTCCTCAGGCACCTGTTGATATAATTTACACCTCAGTATAATTGTCTCACCTTTTACCTGGATGGCTGCCTAAGAAAGGGCCTTTATTTTTATAGAAAAGATCAAGGCTGTCTCTGTGCTTCAGGAGTCTGTAAGGCCAGGACCTGTCTGCTCTGTCATGGAGGACTGCCCTCTCTGGCGCCATCTAGTGTCATATGTAGCCCATGGCAGGGAAGAATGCTCACAAAAGGCCTATTCACACTTGCACAAATACTTGCCTTGGACCAAATGGGAATACTGAAAGATACACTTTACCCGCTTTCCTGGAGATCATAGCCAAGTGGACTGCAATCAAGACAGCATGAATGACATAATATATGGCAGTGAGGGCTAAAGTGGAGCACACAGGAGCACCCCGAGTTCAGATCTGGGGCCTGCTGTGTGGAAGGACAAGACTTGGACAGGTAGAAGAAGGAGTTCAATGGTCAGGAGTAAGAGAAAAGACATTTTCCGAGTGACAACGTGAATGCAAGTAGCACGCTCAATTTAGGACAATGGCTGAAGGGGATCACGAGGAGGTAAAATCAGAAAGGGAAGTGGGGGGGTGCAAATTACAGAGCAGCCTTGAATGCCAGCAGAAGTGGTGATTTGCACTTCAGTGTGAGGCACTGGGGACACTTTGAGCATTTTAAAGCAGGGCAGTGGTAGATAGCAAGGATGGGTTGGACTATTAGTATGGTCAGATGGCTGCGTGCAACAAACTACATGCATGACTGCAGTGTGGTAACAGGAAGTGGAGGACAGCAAATGGGGAGTAGGTGCACTTGTTCAGTGAGCATGCCAGTGAGCTGCTGAACACCTTTTGAAGACTGAATGGATTCTGGACACCTTGCTCTTTAGTTATGTCCACCACATCTCCTCTTAGAGACCCACACACCCCCTCTGACCCCAGCGAGACATATGTGGGGTGGGGAAAGACTGCCCATCTCGTCAGTCACATAACCAACTGGCCTGAGCTTGGGAGTGAACTTCTTTGGAAGATGGCATTATTAGTCAAACCAGTTTGTCAGCAGAGAAGGTTTGGCACAGTCTTTGATCTCCTATTCCTGGCCTCAACCGCATGCCAAGCTAATTGTGAACATCCACTGCCTCTGACCCCAGACATATGCGTGGGGCAAAAGACTGTCCATTTGTGCTATGGCAATGTGTCTGATCCAGTGTTCACTTCTTTCTGCATTTGGGGGAATAAAATTAAAGATGATGACATTAGAATTAGAAGTGGCCAGAGAGCCCATCTAATCCCAGCCCTTTCAGTTGGTTAAGTAGTGGGCTGCGAACTGAAAGATTGGTGGTTCAAACCACCCAGAAGTTTCTTGGAAGACAGGCCTGGTGGTCTGCTTCTGAAAAACCAGTCACTTAAAACCCTATGGTGTTCTACTGTGACACACAGTGTTGTTCTGAGTCGGAATTGACTTGACAGCAATTGGTTTTTCAGTTAGAGATGGGAAAGAGACTTTCCCAAAGTTACACTGTTAGATAATAACAGCGGCAACATCTTGGAACACTTTTGAAGTGCCAGGGGCATTTTAAGCATTTTAACTCATTTAATCTTCACAACTCTTGAGGTTGGTATTGTCATCATCCTTGCTTTATAGATGAAGAAACCAAGGTATATGGAGGTTAAGTAACTTGTCCAAGGACATTTAAGCTAATAAGGAAAGGAAGTGGGAATGGAAGCCGGGAACCTGCCTCTCCAGTTTCTGCTTTGCCAAGCCTGTGCCTTTGCCCCCTGACCCTAGAGGCAGCCTTCAGGGGCAGAGCTCTGGCTACGTTGGGCCACAGCAGAAGGTCCTGCCTGGCAACTTCTTTGGCTTTGCTCTTCATCCCACAGGGTTTACTTGGCCCTAAGCTGGCAGGAAATGCACTTCCTGAAGCTGGGGCTTACCCACGGAGGTTGTAAAGCAGCTGGGCATCCCTGTCCTTCACCTGAGGCATGACTGGGCCAGGCTACCATGTCCCATGAACCTGAGGTGGCTGCTCATTCCACCACATGGGCAGCGAGGGTGTAGCTGTGCTGCCCCCTCCTATTCCTTCAAGAGTGACTCAAAGGGACATGGTTCCCATCTCTGAGTTTCAGTAAAGTGCTCAGCTACTAACAGGAAGGTTGGTGGTTCAAATCCGCCCGGAGCTGCCTCAGAGGAAAGGCTTGGTGATTTACTGAAAATATCAGACAGTGAAAATCCTGTGGAGTACAGTTCTACTCTGACACACATGGGGTCACCGTGAGTTGAAACGGACACAACAGCAACTGCTTTTTAATAGGCTGGTGAAGGAGAGACTGTGGTGATTAAACAGAGGCCACAGAGCCTTTTGGGTGGTGAAGGGTTGCCTGGTCCAGGGCAGAAGAAGGCAGATGGGCAGGAGGCACTGAAGTCCCCCATTTTGGATCCCCACACTGACTTGCAGCCACTCTGAGAGCTCTGAGCTCAGCCCTGCTCATCTGTACAGGGTTGTGGGGGCCCTGGCCTAGAGGGGAGTGCATGTTGGTGTTTGTGAGGTGGGGTGGGGTGGGTTCTTTTGAGCCACACACAAAGCCTTGTGCTGAGACACTGCATTCCTGCTGGCTGGGCTTCCTGTTTCCAGATGCATTCCTGCCCCAGAGTCACCACAGAGACTGCTTGGAATCTGGCTGCACATTCTCCAGATTCAGGGCGGATCTGGCAAAGGCTTCTTCTCTTTACCTCCCACCCTCTCACTTTGGAGTGGAGGAAACCACCTGACCGGCCCTCCTTACCCTTCTACCGAGAGAGGGTTTGGGTAAAGTTTGGTGTGATTTGGAGGATTTGGTGTCACATATCCTGTTGTTAGGTCATCATAGAGCAGTTCCTGCCACGAATATAGCAATATAGCAACAGTCTCAGTTTCCTCTCTGCATCTGGAAAGGAGGGACAGGAGGGGTGCTGTCCAGGATGATAGGGAGGGGAAGAAAGCCCATCCACCTAGGGTCAGCAGGGAAGGACCTGGGCCTGAAAATCAAGGTCTTCAGGGATGGTCTGTAATTCAGGCACTTGGCTCTTATTGTGCAAGGCAGGCTTGGCTGTGGGTCTCAGTTTCCCTATCTTATAAAGTTAGAATCTGATAGTTTGTGGCTCCCTGATGAAGTCTCCTGGATCCCTGGGTGGTGCCAACAGTTAACATATTCCACTGCTGGCTGAAAGATGGGAGATTTGAATCCATGCATAAGTGCCTCAGAGGAAAAAATCTGGCGATCTCCTTCTGAAAGATGAGCCATTGAAATTCTTATGGAGCACAGTTCTATTCTGGCACACATGGGGTTGGCCTAAGTGGGAATGGACAATACAGCAACTGGTTGGTTAGGAAAGAGCAGAGGGGCAGACAGGAGGAGGTGGGCCGGCTTGCCCTCCTTGTTAACAGCTACGTCCTCCCAGAGACTCAGGTGCAAGTTAGCACGTCCACAAGCTCCCTTATCTGCCCGCAGGGGTTCTGGGTTCTGCTGGGATATTTTTCAGCCCTGCCCACTCCCTCAGGAGGAGGCGGCTTCCTTAGAAGCCACTAGAACCTATCTGGTCTCTAAGCTGTCCCCACCTTCAGCAGGAAGGGAATAGAGTCCCGCTGGTTGGAAAGGGGTTGGGGTGGGACAGGGAAGCATTAATAGGTTGGCTCCGCCTTCAAGATACTCCCTGATCCCGCTAGCTCATTTCTTTCCCAGTTCCTTAAAGACGCTGCCGTGGGCAGGGGTTCAGATCTAGTCCAGGACCCTTGTTTCGCGCCAGACTACAACCTCGCACTCTGCAGTTGCGAAGAATTTTCCTTGAACTGTTTCATTGGACTCAACGACCCCAGAAACTGACTGGTTGGGGTCAATGGGAATAATTTCCCCTTTTTTCCGCACAAGGTTTCTGAGAGGATTAGTGAGTTGCCTCAAGCCATTCAGCTGGGATCGCTGAAAGGCCTTGTCCTGGTGAGCACTCTTCCCACTGCCAGCACGTGGGCCTCCTTTTCCTTCCGGGCTCCAGTCCTATGTGTCCCCCACCTCTCCGGCTCCTTTTAGGCGGCAGGAAGACAGATCTGGCGTGTGAACTGGGGGGCGGGGTGACTGATCCCGGAGCCCGACAGCGTCCGCAGGCGAGGACCGGCTCCTCCGTCTGGGGCTGGAGCGCGGCGTTGCGCCGGGGTAAACAGCGGATCGGGGCTTTTATTTTCGTCCCAGCTAGGAAGAGGATGACGGGGTGTTCAGATCGTGCCTTCGAGGTTCTTGGCGCGCGTTGCCTCCCGGAGGCGGGCCACCCCCTCCGTGCCCGCGCCCCGCAGCGCGCCCCCGCCCGGCGCGCACACCGGCCGGGCTCCTCTCCGCCCCTGCCCCGCCCTGCCCCGCCCCCTCCTCCTTCGGAGAGTGTCTGGGGGCCGCGCCCATCAGGGTCCCGACTAGTGAGCTAAACCCAGCAATTGACCGACGCGGGGACGCGGGCCACAGTCGCTCTGTCCGGCTACAGGGGGCCGGGAGCTGGGCCATGCTGGGCCGGCGGCGGGTCTTCGCGGTGGAGGCGCGCGGCGGCCCGGGTGAGTCACCCCCGTCCCTAGCGCCGACTGGGATCGGATGGGGGCCTGCGGGCGCAGTGGGCTAGATCCCTGAGCTCCAGGCTTCTGCGAAGCGTTGGGTTCGCCATATCCCCGGGGGTCCTCCTTCCTGGAGCCAACCCGCGCCCTCGCCAGGGCGCGCACCTGGAAAGCCCCTCTCTGCCCTCCTTGTCCGATTCGCATACCCCGCCGGGAGGCGCCCTATCTCTCAGCTTGAGGGATCGAGTGATTCATTTTGCGACACGCCGTGCACCTTGGAGACCCTCTGGCTTAACCAGCCACCACCCCCATCCCACTTCCTCAGGGTCCGCTTCCTTCTAATTTGCCATCTGAACCTTCCTTGCCCTGCCTGAAGGCTGTCTGAATCCGCCTGCCCCCTCCCCCAGCTGGTAACTCAGCAAGCCCCATCCCTGGCGGACCCCTTTCCAAAGACAGCCCTCCCTGCAGGGGTGTTTCCTGACTGATTTCCTTGCCTATAAGGCCTCGGGTTTGAATTTCAGCTCTCGTGCTTGGCTGGCAGTGTGATTTAGGCAAGCTTTCATCTTCTCTCATCCTTGGTTTGTACATCATTTCAACTGGGGTTCTATAGAACGCCTGACACAGGGGTGACATTAAATGAGCACTGACTCCCATTCTAGGTCCTGTTCTTCCACTGATTTTTTTTTTTTTATTATTATTTTAAACTCTCCACAAAATCTTCACTATTTCTCACTTAAAATAACAAAAGCCCCAAATAGTTATAGCTACTGTTGTTTCGACTCAACAGCACATAACAACAACAACAACACTGTTGTTTCTAATGACTCTTCCTTTCAAGGTCCAGGAGAGACTTGATCTTGGCCCCAGGACCTCATGAGAGGCAGTGTGGGCCCTAAACTTCACTCTGCCCTTTTCCTTCTCCCTCAGCCCCTTCCTCCTTGGTGAGCAGCTGAAGAGCCTGCAGCCCACCCCTCCATCCCCTCATAATTTGAAGGTCTTAGGCGTCATGACCCTAGTTGGGGAGCATAAGGGCTCCTGGGAAGAAAGGGCCCACCCCCTTCAAAGGAAGATGGGGCATTCAAGGAGCTGATGGACATGATCTAAAAGGGCTTTGCCTACCAAACAGCCAGGATTATGGGTTAGTTGTTGTTAACAATGTTGTACAGGGACCCTCATTTCCTGGGCAGAGTCAGAGAGCTACCTTGGTGGGTCTGGGGCTCTCTAGGCTCCTCCCTTCACTGTTCACCTGGGACACTCCTCCCTGGGGGAATGCTGATGGCTGCCAAGAATGCTGGGGGCGTTGGGGGCAGTCTGCCCAGCCTGATACTGACTCTCCTGGCAGATAGGGCAGGTGGGGATCTGGCACACGGATGTGTAGTGCCTGGAGTCATCAGCACCTACAGACGGATCCAGGACACTGTTGATTGGAGGTCATCAGATGCCCCCTGGAATGGAGACAGCCAACCGAAAAGTCCTGGGAGGCCAGTGCCACTTCTGAAAATGGCTTCCCAGGACTCAGGAGTGGAGATAGCAGTTGGGCATAGCTCTCTGGCTATCTCACAGGGCCTTTCTCAGGACTCTCTGGACTTGGAACATGCAGGGAGCTCTGAGCCCCCAGCCCTTACTGTCATGGAGGCCCCAGCCCAGCTAGGCAGGCTTCTGGCTAGCCATAAGCTGGAGCGGGTACTGGAGCGGTCCTGCCAGCTCCCGACTTCCCCTACCAGTTTGTCACAACAGCACCACCCTCTCCAGCTGCCCAGCCAGCCTGAGTGTGAAGTGTGCCCTTTTGGAGCAAGGGAACTGGAGGTCACTGAGGCAGAAGCTGGCCTAGAGGCAGGCCTGGGAGAAGCAGACATGGTGAGTACCAGTCTCAGGCCAGGCAAAACTGGGGTGCAGACAGTCCTTTTATACTGGGGTCAATGGGGACCTCTGTCCCCCACCTTGTTCTCCCTGGAGCTCTCTCGGGGTGGGGCATTCCTTGCCGGTAATTGATGGGTTGTGTCACAGCTTCTTGGCTCACCCCACTCCCAGCCACGTGTAGCCGCCCCCACACAGGAGGTGGGCAGGTTTGGGCCCAGCCTGGCATCATGCCTGGCTGGGCTCTGGGGAAGCCAGTGGGGCATGTGTGTTCCCCCCTGTGCCTGCCCACTTTGCCCCTATCTGATGGGTGAGCAGGCTGGCTACCTAGGGTGGGAGTCTGAGTGAATTCAGAAATATTCCCTACTTCACTGTGTCCCACAGGTTGAGGGCTTGGAGCCTGAAGTCTGGACCAGCCTCCCAGGGCAGGGTCTTCTCTACCTAGAACACCTGTGCCTAGTGCTGGAGCAGATGGCGAGGCTCCAACAACTCTATCTGCAGCTGCAGACCCAGAGACCCGCTGAGGTAAGTGAGCCTCAGGGTGGTCAGGCCAGTGAGTGGGCAGGCTCACGGAGGAGGCAGTGCAGGGGTGTAGCCCTTGACCTCACGGCTCCCTCTGAACAGCCTCAGCCCTCTACTCAGCCCTGATTGGCCCTGTCCCTCTTGTACACAGGACCCTGAAGAGTCTGCTCCTCCTTCACCGTCACATGCCCTAGGCAATGAGGTGCAATGGGACTTGCTGAGCCAGACAAAGGAGACAGGTGAGGGGCAATTATGTCTCCCTTCTCCTGTCTGCTCAGGGTCCCACCAGCATACCCTCTTGATAGGATGGCTTCCTGGTCTTGGCCCTGGGTAACCTGACTCTCTCTCTGAAGGGGCAAAAGCAGCTTCATTCCCAAAAGTGGGGATGCCTAGCACCAATCCTCCCAACCTGCCAGAGGCCCCAGCAGAGCCAAATCACACCTTTCCTTCCTCCCAGGGCCACAAGGTAGGTGATGTATCTGTGTGGGTGGCAGGTGTGAGGATGGGATGGGGATGGGGATGAATGCACATCCCTAAGTCCAGAAACTTTGGGAAGATGATAGCATGATGACTTGTCCTGGCTGTGGTGAGAGCTGTCCCTGGGAGCTTGGTGGAAGGTATATGTAGGGGGAGGGGCTAAGTGGTGACCCCTCACCCTCTGCTCAGCTGGATCTCTCCCACTGGGACAAGGTCAAGATCTTGCTGAACCGGATCCGCTGGAGAAGCTCTCGACACCCTGAGCCCCCTCCTTCTGATGGCCCTGACCCCAGGTGAGTCCTGTGGCCCAGTCCAGCTTAGGGCAGTGGGCAAGAGACTGATGCATCAGGATGCTGGGATTGTACTTCCAGGAGCTATTTTTGTCCCTATGAACTTTGAGACATAGATAGACTTGGAGGGGATGCTACAAGAGAACCAAAAGTAGTTAAAATGCTCCATTTACAGATGAGGAGGCTGGGAACTGGGGTAGGGAAGTCATTTTCCATAAAGCAAGTCAGTAGCAGAGGCAGAACCAGAATATGGGTCCTCATCCCAGCCCAGCAAGCCTTTACCCCTCAATGCTGAAACTCAGAGCTGGCTTAGTGGGCAGGAGGGCTGCTAAGGGAGTAAAGAGGAGAGGAGCAGATAGGAGCACAGACAGAGGGTGAAGTGCATCATGCTTGGGAAGTTATATGCCAGTAATTCTCCAGGGGGAAGAAACACTATGTCAGTTAATACCCCCGGGCTCCCAAGAGCAGATAAGCAATGTCCTATCAATTCTGGGGCTGAAGCTACCTTTGTTTCCTCCTCTAGCTTCATGCTTTCATTTTCTTTTCCACAGGATTGAGTCAAGGGACTTCCCTGAAAGGCCTCAGTGTCGCCCCCAGTGGAAGACCTTTATGCCATCATTAGTGGTTAAGAAACAACGAGCTAAAAACCTATCTGTCTGCTAAGACCTCCTGGTGCAGGGACATGACCCTGGGTGGAGGGGTGTGCAGTGAAGTCTTCTTCCTCACCCTTTGCCCTGTTGCTGCTGCTTGTCACTGCTGGGAAAAGCTGCTGACGCTTGCCCTTCTCTCTGAGGTGAGGGCCGAGTCTTCTCTGAGCAGCCTGACAGTGGGACCCCAGTTCCCTACGAGGCCCCCAAATGTGGCAACTCTAAGGCTCCATCCTGTTTCCCAGAAATCCCTGGGCTTATACAATGTGAACTAACTTATTTATCAGGCATCCACGGAGCGTGTTTGCCATGGTGATCTGTCCAGACCCAGCCTGTTGCAGATGTGTATTGATGCATAATTTTATATCTGTATCTGTGAGACTGTCAGAGTTGTGAACTAGCTGGATTCAGCCATTCCTCCCAGAATCATGCACTCCCCTAAATTGGTCTTCTGGGTGAGGTAATCTATGGAAGGATGGAACTGACCTTTGTTCATCAGTGGGCAGTTGCTGACCAGGATTCTTGCTTTCCTCAAACCTGCATGGACAGCCTCTGGACAGACAATGGTGCTACTGTATCTGCCTCTGCATTGCGTCTTGTCCCTGGAGCAGGGCTTCTGAAGACTGTACCAGGAATGGCAGGCTCAATGACAACACACCGAGGAGCATGGAGAACAGGACAAAACCTTCAAGGTCAAGTCTTGGCTGCTCTGCTCCACACTATCTTTTTTTTTTTTTGTCAAAGCTGAAACTGGAAGTCCATATTAGTTTTTAGACCTTGAACAAGTCCCTTAACTTTTATGAGCCCCAGCTTCCCACTTCATCTCTGAAATGGGATCGTGATGACTGCCCTACCTACCTCACAGGCTTATGAAGATGCTAAAATGAGATTAAAATGTCTTAAAGTGCTTCATGGACTGTTAAATGAATAGGAAAGTGGGGGGTATTGGTTGTGAGGGGAGGGTAGATTAGAGGAATGATGGGGAAGTGGGAGGATAAGGAAGGTCTGGGATTGCTAATGGAGATGAAAATGGCCAGTAATTAGTGGCAAGACTTTGAGGAAGTCCTTTAATTGAGGTCTCTTAGGTTTTATATCTGAGAATTAGGGTACTAATGCCTGACCTGCTGTGGTGAAATGAGTTCCTTTATAAGCTGGCCTTTGCCTTGGTTCTTTGGAAACAAACAGCTTCAGAGATTTTTCTTTAAACCTTTGTAACTTTTCTAACCCAGAGGGTTTGTTACTTTTGCCCAGGTTACTTGACATTTTCTGGGTAAACTGTAAACAACTTGATGGTTTGATACTTTTTATCTGGCCCTGGGCTGCAGCCTTTCCTGTGATTGGAATGTACTTTGCCAGGATTGGTCAATATATTATGCAAATAAAGTGACTATGGTCCACCAAGGCCAGTTTGTGGCCCTATAGGGAGGGCCATGCCTTGAAGTTGACAAGGAATTTGCTTATATACGCAGCCAAGCCCACGGACCTTTCAAGAAGGGAAAGGGGTGAGGAGATGAGCAACAGAAAAAAGCTGCAGTACAGGTCAAGAGCTGTAATATTGAAGACAGTGAAAGGCCTGGAAGAGACCCTGTGGCAGAGCCAGTGACAGAAATCTGCTACTGGGAATACAGCTAAGAGAGCTGAATGAAGCTGCTGCACCAGCTGTGAGCTGGATTGGTTAGCAGTGGAGATGCTGACAGCAGGGAGGCTCAAAGCACAGAGGCCTGTCCTGAGAGGGCTGGGAGGAGGTGTGCACAGGAGGTGTGCACAGCAGAGAGAAGGACCTGTTTGCTTGCATGGCCAAAATAAACTGAGAAACCAGTCTTGAAGAAGGGAAGGATGTACTTTCCACCTTGGGGAAGACTTCCATATTTTGCCTACATACTTCCTGATCCTGATCCCAAGCCATTATCTTGATCCCAAATAGTATCCTTTTATTTCCTTAATAAACCACTTAACTGTAAGTATGGTCTATGAGTTCTGTGTGGCCATTGCAAGGAATTATAGAACCTAGAAGGGAAGTAGAGCGTGCCATGGGGAGGACAGCTGGTATCAAAATTGATAAAAAGGTTGGAGAGTATACATATATTTGACCTCCAACTTGTAAGAACCAGCCTTGGGCTGATAGTGATTCTCTCTCCTCCTCTTCAAGTAAGACAATTTCAGGTGATAATAGAACATTACACCTGCCTACCTCATAGGGTTGTTTCAAAGACTGAAATGTCCACGAGAGCTTTCTAAAAGTCTGCACCAATATTGTTAGCTGCTGCTGAGTCAGTCCCTGACTCATGGCAATCACATGCATAATAGCAGGAAAAAAAAAAAAAAAAAAACCAAAAAACTTCTGCCTGATTCTGTACCATTGCTGTAATCAATTGGGGATCAGACCTTTGTGATCTATAGGATGTTCACTGGCTGATTTTTGGAAGTAGTTAATCAGGCCTTTCTTCCTGGTCCATCTTAGTCTGGAAGTTCTGCTGAAACCTGTTCAGCATCATAGCAACATCCAACAGGTGGTGGCGTGCATGAGGTGCACTACCATCCCCCTTCATACTGGATGGCACCCAGGTCTCCTGCATGGAAGGTAAGAATTGTACTCCTAAACCACCACTGCCTTACCTAAATATTACAGGTGGTTTATTTTACTATGGCCTAGTTGGGCTCCTACCTCTTTGTGAACTGAGAAAAGTGGAAAGCTTAGTCTCCTGCTTTAGAAGACTAAAGATGGGAAGTGTGTGTCTCAGGGTGTGGTTGCTGGAAGGGCAGGGTTAGGGATAGGTCATTGGTTTTTAAGTCACAGAAGCCTATTTAAGATATGTCTGGTTTGTCATGCGCCCAGGGTGCCACTGAGCACTTTCTATTAATGCAGTATAGCCCAACGTCCTTCCTCAAGCAGACATCCAGAGGCCTAACTAGCAGTGGGGGGCACTTGCCCCCTTCCTTTTTCCTCCCAAGTCCAATTGGGGCGCCAGATAAGGCGCAGAATGACATTTCAAGCGCCACAAATACGAAAGGCGCCTGACTGAGGCAGCCGGACAGTAGTGGGGAGGGGAGAAGGCGTTTCTTTTGAGGGTTGCTGCTATCAACGTCTATTCATCTTGAAATTAGGAAGCCGCAATTAAGAGATTGCCCCGGGCGCTCATTACCCTCCCTACGCCCCTGGTCATAGACACTGGAATATCTCCCAGAAACGGCCATTGATCAAGCATTCTCCTTCTCCTTCAAGACTGGTTCTTTTGCTGCTTTAGTCTTCCAGTATGAAGTGGGGATGATAGGGGTAGGCTCTCCCTTATGTTGAAGGGTCCATCTGTCTTTGCACCAGGAACCAATCTCTGAAGTATCTTTTCTCATGGGAAATTTTAGCTTGAACACTACCGAGGCGCCACTTCCTACCGCACATCCGATCGGGGAAGGCGCATTTCCGTTCCGCAGTTGGAGAAAGATGGTAAGCCTGAGTGGGGGAAGGGAGAGGTCGGTGGAGACGGGGGAGGGACCATATCCGGGAGAGTGGCAGCTTCCGACTAGTGGTCGCGCTTCCGGAGAGGCGCTTCCGGCGGCGGCGGCAGCAGCGACTGTGGTGGTTCCGGGTGTCTTTGTCCCCCGGTGTCGCGGCCCTGGCCCGCAGGTGGGTTGGGGGCCTTCCCGCCGCCCCTCTGCCTATTAGCCCCTCCCCTGGTCAAGGGGCCGAGGGAGCCGGACGACGAAGATGCTTTGGTCGCGGAAGGGGCCGAGTCCCCCTTGGGCCCGCAAGTCCCGTCTCCCTGGCAACGGCCTCGGCCCTGGGGGCGGGCGGGAGGAGGAGAAACCGCGCGCCTTCGTCCTCCCACGGTGGCCTCGCCGTTGCCCGGCTTGGGAGACCCGGCGGCTGCTGAGGCTCCGGGAGCGGAGAGCCAGATAGATAGTGCGGGAGTAGCAGAGGGGCGCGCAGCGGGATTCGCTTTGGCGGAGCCAGAGAGCTACCCTCCAGTAGCCTGTCCTGGGAACGGCGAATAGGGCTACCAGGCCCCACACAGTCTCTTCTCCGGCACAGCCTCCTCCATTTTTCTGGGCCCTGCCGTGGAGCATTTTGGCGGATGTTTTTGAATGAATGAATGTCACTGAGGCTTTTTCCAACTCTCCCACCTCCCCAATCACTCCAGAGGTGGCGTGGCGTAGTGAGAAGGGCGTTAAGTTGTCGGGAGACCTGGGTGTAAGACTTAGTCTTGTCACTAGCTGGTTTTGTGGCCTCAGGCAAGTCTCAATCTTTCTGTACTTCAATTTCCTTTCTTATAAAATAGCATGACAACATCACCTACCTCTAGATTATTGTGAGGGCACACTGGAACAATGCAATGTGTTAATTTCCTGCTCCTGTTTATAGTCTCTCCATTCACCCTCAGTACCATGCCCTCCCTATTTTCCTTAAGACTTAGCTCTTTAAGATTCTTCAGTTTTCTGAGGTAGATGGAAATTTTACTCATGAGCTGATAATTTACTTCTTTTCTGATTGAAGGTTTTCTCCAAGACTCTGAAAAAGAACAGCGTTCCCAATGTCCCAGTTTAAGCGCCAGCGGATCAATCCGCTTCCAGGGGGACGCAACTTCTCAGGTGATCATTTTTATCCCTATCTGGCATCTTACTGGGAAGCATGTACTTCACATTTAGTCTTTAAATATATGTCTTCTTGGTGGAGAGCAATTTATTGCTGATGTTTTGTAGGAAAATAGATGACCACAGTGGTTGTCAGTGAAATCTTGTGGTGGAGTTGGTTGGAATCCGTTTGCCCTTTGGGTTTACCATATTTTCTAGCTGACTGTAATGCTTAAAGTAGTAGATGGCACTTCCTGAAGACATCTTATCTGTTGCCATAGGCGCAGCTTCAACATCTCTTCTGGGCCCTCCTCCTGGTTTGCTCACTCCTCCTGTGGCCACAGATCTGTCCCAAAACGCCAGGCACCTTCAGGTAGGTTGGGCATGCTTTCTAGTGAGCTTCAATGCTTGGAACTGTACCAAGGGTTGCACATTCATGGATGCTCGATG